TCCAATAACTCCAATAAGCCAATAAGCTCCAATAACCGTTCATTTCTCTTGGCATCCGTTGTGTGATGACTTTTGCAATATGTCTTTTGAAAGACAACAGTCTCGCGATTATTTTGATGTCACTCTCATTTGTGGAAAATTTTTCTGTGCTTATTTTTAGCGTAGTGGATGACGAAAAACAGCATTTTCGGCATATGTTCAATGAGTTCAGGCGGCGCTCGACGACAGCGGTTGCAGCAAGGAATATTTGTGCCGTGCACGGAGAGGGTGCCGTTGGTGAGTCCACGTGTCAAAAGTGGTTTGCCAAGTTTAGTAAAAGCATGATCCTCCTCGGGTAGTCATGCCCGCTCGGCTCAACCTCCCCATGGGGTGTACACTGTTTCCTCGCGCTTAACTTCTAATCGACTTCCTTCAGGATACCGGTGGAAACACTCCTGACTCCCGACATAAGGGTGGTACTCGGGGACCCATCCTTCCCTCCACACATCAGATATTTAGACATAATAAGTACCGGTTTAAGGCGTGGTAAATAACGTGGAGCCAGAGGCGCCATCTCGCGTCGATCCGAGAAAATACACGCATTCGGGTCTCTGGAGTATGGATTAAAGCAAAAAAAAATACACTATATACAATATCGTGACAATATTATAGCACAGATTCCCAAGGTTTCCAGGTTTTACTGCTCACCTTGTACATTCTACCATGAGTTAGAAGTGAAGAATTGTGAAGAATTTATCCACGTGATCGAACAACAGTCAGACTTGACTGCCTCGTATCATCTTCAAAGTATGAAGCTAATAATCGGATCATGACGTGTGTAAAGCAGAAGGCAGCCCAACATATAAAACCGTGTCTATCGCAGAAATACGTGAGTCTATGTTTCCCTGATGAGACTTTCAAGGGCCTGTCAGTTTTCAATTTCGAACAGCTGACCACAAACCCTCAGTCCTCACCTTAGTAGCAAAACTGAGACGGCGAAGTAAATCAAGCTCTATTTCTAGATTAAGTATTAAATTCTGCATTTAGAGCCTAAATTTCAGTATTAATTGTTCCCACCGCCGACCTGGATGATGGTCCACAGGGGAGAAGAGCATCGTCAGGAATCTCACCTGATCAATTTTTATGGAGGTTAATTTGCTTAACATGCTATTCCCTTCCTGCAGGAGCATGAGAACGTCTTGGACATCGGCCAAGAGACACTCCCTCACGACTAGGTTCCTCATTTCAGAGCCCTCACCACACGGCAACTTCGGACAAACTCCGAATTCTTCAGCAATGGCCAAGGATATCTGCTTGTGAAGACAAAGGTCGAGTCGAATTGAAGTTCTATTGATTTGTGCCCCTCATGGACGGCGTTTTCCCTGCAACTGCCAATTGGAACACGTCGAAGCAGTTCTCTTGAGTCGGTCACAGACTTCTTCCTGAATTCACTACCACGTCGCCTTCAGGCCGTCGTCCTGGCAAATACGATACTTAGGAACGTAAATGCGTATTCTAATATTCCATTAAAAATTCGAGTCTGTTAAGCTTCACAATCCCACAGTTTTGCCAAAGAGTTGAGGGGGAGGCGCAAGCACTCTGTACTTGTTCTCCTTCGATGAGAAGTTCTCAGAAGTGCAGCAAGGCCCTGGATATCATTTAGCCTGTGCCATTCGCTTTTATTAACCCTCCAGTAGATTTAATTATCATTTTAGTGTTTGCTGACTTTCAGAGTCCAGGTAGAGAATAAGTATAGAAACGTATGTAGTGAGGGGAAAACCGTTCTGATTATTTTGCCGTCTGACATTCATGTTCACGAATTCCGATTCCATTCGGCCCATGCCAACCGCGTACTTAAAAAGTACTTCGCCAAACTCACTGACACGAGGAAACCAATATATATTTTTGACTTCTCACATGGGATGGAGCAAAAATGACATTCACGGTATCTCTCGGTGCTCTCTTTCTTGTCTGGCCCAACGTGCCAGCCCCGCCGAGCCAGCCCCGCCGAGCCAGCCCCGGAGCCAGCCCCGATGAGCCAGCCCCGCCGAGCCGCCACGGCTTCAACACCGCTGGTGGATCACGAGGCTTCGCGGTGATAAGCTTATAGCTTGGAAGTCGCGTTGGCAGCGGATGGGATTGAAAGTCTGAAAAGTATTTGTTGTAGGGGATCCCTAGGAAAGTGCAAAGGGGGTTCACACAGGGGTCACACCCGTAGTTAAGCCAAAAGTGACTGCCCGAGTTCCCGCCAGATGGCCGTACGAGGAGTCCAATTCAAACGGCTAGAACTCGGAAACCGTTGGCCGGGGGAACCCGCAGATGACGTCTTCTGGAAGCTGAGACGATCTACTTTCGAACGAGGGGTTGAGATTCGAGCCGACTCCAAAGGTCAAAGGTCAAAGGTCCATATAACTGGGAATAGCGTAATTTTTGAGAACGGTATTCCGCCAAAGACGAAAACGACATCAAATCTCATGGGCCTCGTACAGAGAATTTCGGAGTAAAAGAATCAAAATGTGTTCGAAATTGGGTCAAAAAACGCTACTCCGTGCTTTTTTCTGTTCTCGGCGTCGGGGCCAAAAACGGCAAAATGTTCTCCGGTCGATCGATAGGGAAGAGTCTCTAGAAAGCAGGGACGCCATGATCGCGTTCATACCTAAACGGGTTCCTTCGGAAAGTTCCTTCAAAGTCGTCCATTTTTTTGAAGAAAAATCGGCCGCCATCGTCGGCGCGCTCGCCGCAGAATGCGACCGCTCGAAAGCGAAAATGAGAAAATCTCCAATCGATCGATGGACGGGAGGGAGACTTCGCCCGACGCTTTGCGAAGCGAAATCGTATTTCGCCCCCCATTCGACGAGGGTGTCGAAAAAAGGGCCGACTTCGCTTTTCAGAAGCAACTCGTGAAAATTTCTCCGATAGCTCCATAGATACGATTCGCCGCCCGCCTCCACCCACCGCCTTCATCGGCGCGCCCGATCGGGTTTCTCTAGCGAAAAACCACGGAATTCGGCGCGTCGACAGCAGGAGGTCTTCCTCGTGCACGGATGCCCTACACGCCGCATCCACTCCCCGCTCACTCGCTCACTTGCCGATTCGCCTTCGATGCCGCGATCCTCGGACGTTCTCTCGTCGATCGACTTCGACGATTCCTCGGAACGAACGAAAACGTCGACGCTCGCGATCTCTGCACGGGTTCCGGAGGAAAGTGGATCGGAGAAAAGCGTTTCCATCCGGAGGATGTCCCCCCCCCCACCCTCACGCGACCGGACTTTCGTCTCTGGTACGAAACGAAGGGAAAAGTTTTCTCTCGTCGGCCAGTACGGCGACGAGTCTCAGGGATGCATTTCCTCCCATCCGATTTCCTGCCTTCGTTTCCTTGGGTCGCAGGTCGCGATTTCGGTCGGTTCTCCTCGACGTCTCCGCCGTCGGCATCCCACGAAACCGTTTCGATTCCGTCTTTCACCGATTCCTTTTTTCGAGTCGCGACGCGAAATCCTCGATCGTGCCACCACGAGTTCCGTTCGCGGGAACGTCTTTTGCGAAAATCTCCTTTTCCTTCCCCTTTCCTATTCCCGATCCGTCACGAAAGACGCGTCCAGAATTCCGCGCATGAGTTTTTACCATATTTCCCTTTTCATTCCTCTTCGACGATGCGTCCGAATTTTACCGGCGGTGTTCGCCTAGAACTTGAAAATCCGCTCGAAAGTGAAAGTCGGGTGAGTGTGTGTGTGTGTGTGTGTGCGCGCTCGTTTATAGACATTTCCACCTTCAAGCGCGAATCTCTCGAGAACGAGGGGAAATGTTCTGATTCTTCAACGTGGACCCATCAGGGACGACCGAAGTTTCTCCCCTACTGCATGCATGTGAATGAGTCTACTTCCCTCTGACCCGCGACGGTCTTCACCGTCTTCGCGGTCTTCACCGTCTTCACCGTCGCTTCCTCGAAAAACGAATCGAGTTCGGTTTTCTCCTGCCTTCCCCCCCATCCCCGCAACCTCCCGCATCCGTTATGCACGACACGATCCTACACGACGCGACGGAATCCTCCACGATTCAGACGAGACATCAATCGCCTCTCTTGGCATTCCCACTTTTTTCTCGTTCGGCTTGGGTTTTTTTCCGGCGAGCAGACGACAGGACGCACGAATATTTTTTTTTTTCACCGCCTTCTTTCTCCTTCCCCCAGCCCCTCGTGCCAAGACGTGCCTGGCACTCGCCTTCCCCCTTCTCGTCCAGATCCGGTTTTTTATGCGACTGGAAAAAGAGAGACGGTTTTTTCTTCCCTTCGCTCTTGAAAATCCCGTCCCTCTGTCGCGTATCAAATCCTTCTCGTTTTCTACTCGTGGCGTTTCCGCCGTCTGCCGATGGTTCTTCGGCATTTGTACCAGAAAGATCGCGTCAGCCATCGGTGGACCTTTCCATCGATTTCTTTTTCAGCTGGATTTTCCCGAACCCGTCTGCATCGAGGCCTAAACCCTCCACGATTCACATCTTCCGTGAAGTGTATCTTCACATCTTCCGTGAAGTATATCGAACCGATTTCATTCTGAGCCCATGCATGAGGAAGGAAAGCCTCCTTCGCGGATGAGATCAACGGGGGAGGCATTCCCCCGAAAGGAATTCTTCAAACAGGGGAGGGAGGGAGAGAGGGAGGGAGAGAGGGAGGAAGAAAGAAGACATGAGAGAAGGAACCCTGTCTTCCTTCACCGCATGGAAAGGACTCGATTGAGGATTGACTCTCTCGATTGAGAATTGACTCTCTCGATTGAGGATTGACTCTCTCGATTGAGAATTGACTCTCTCGATTGAGGATTGACTCTCTCCGTCGAGGATCGCCTCTCTTCGTCTGTCTACAGCAAAGAGATGCGGATTTGAATCCGACGGCCGGCATATAATCCGTGGAAAGAAACTGGACGTCAGTCTCAGGGCCAGAGAAGGAATCTCAGGATTCCCCCGATTCCCTCGGAGTGGAATTCCTTCCGCCATACAGTCTCCACTCGAACCCCATCGAATTCACTTATTCACTTCCTCGCTCTCACTTTCTCACTCTCTATTCTCTCCCCATCCAAAAGCAGAGCAGCCGGGTTCTCCGTGGTCTCCCATCGCAGGCAGAAACCTCGCTGCCGCTCGAGGCGACGTCGCACAAACATCGAGAGTCCACACAGGTGGACTAGGTCATTTCTGATGAAGTCACTTCCGATGAGACCTTCCCCATTGCATCGGTTCGGTGCATTCGCCGTCAGTCGATCCGCCGAAGATTTGCATACGGGAAGTTTTGAGCTCGTTCCGCGATGAAACGTCCGAACGGTCGATGCCGCTCCCGTTCCGAACGCCGGAAATTCCTGGAGGAAAAAAATCGCGGAATGCTACTGCGGATCGGCGCGGAATTCGGGAAATCGGATTTCAGGCGATTCGAGACTTCGTCAGGTGCGACGCTGTCGGTCGAGAGGCGAAAACCTGGGACGGAGAGACCTTTCGAGGGAACGTCGGTGACGTCACATGGTGATGTCACGGGTCAGAGGGAAGAACACTCATTGGCATGCATGTAGTAGGGGAGAAATCGTTTCCACACACACACACACACCACCACACACTCACCTGACTTCCACTTTCAAGCGGATTTTCAAATTCTAGGCGAACGCTTTCCGTCGTTTCGTACCGGAGACGAAAGTCCGTGTCGCGTGAGGGTGGGGGGACGGACATCCTCCGGATGGAAACGCTTCTCTCCGATCCACTTTCCTCCGGAACCCGTGCGGAGATCGCGAGCGTCGACGTTTTCGTGCGTTCCGAGGAATCGTCTTTGTCGATCGACGAGAGAACGTCCGAGGATCGCGGCATCGAAGGCGAATCGGCGAGTGAGCGGGGAGTGGATGCGGCGTTCCGGGCATCCGTGCACGAGGAAGACCTCCTGCTGTCGACGCGCCGAATTCCTTGGTTTTTCACCAGAGAAATCCGATCGGGCGCGCCGATGAAGGCGGTGGGTGGAGGCGGGCGGCGAATATCCTGACGCTGCGAAAAGAGACGACAATTTCTTCCTGCAACATTGCCATCGGCTTCCTGTCGAAATAAATCACGCAGCGAAAGGGTTAAATCCGTAAAAGCCTCTACTGTGTTCAGGGGCATGGACCACTCGAAGCCTTGAAAAATGAAACTCGTACGGGATCGACTCGACCAGGGAGCCCGAAAGACGCTGCCGCGAGGAAGCACTCATCACATCCCCCGCCACACGCGCATTCGCCCGCATTCACGTTCCCTCCATCACGCACATTCTGCACGCGTCACGTCCTTGGTTCTCGAGGGCAGCTGAAGACCGAGGTGGAGGGCCGAACGGAGACAAGGGTCAGCCCTTTTGCGCTTTTCCTCCAGAGGAAAAAAAAAATGATTTCCTTCTGGACGGGGAAAATTCATTATATCCTGCGTTTTCATCGGGGGAAAATCATTCTTTCGTTGTAGCAGAAATTTCTTAACATCCGAATTTTTTTAGCACGGGTGTCATCGACACTCTCTAGTTCTCCATTAAATGGACAAAAACTAAATGAATTCAAAATCGACCTCCTATGATTCCCCTTTTTGAAAAGGTGGTCTTCACGAAGAAATGCCTGGGCACGATTCAGAGATCCGAAATGGGGCGTCGAACCAAGAGGAAAACAAAGCCAGCGTGGATTCGATGGTAAATATGAATACATTCCGTTCTCAGGAGCTCCCGAAGGAGCCTCGGACATCACAACAGGTGAGAATTGAATATCAATGAAAAGAAAAATGAAAATCCACATATTCACTTAATACATTCAATGACACTAATTTACAAAAGAATCCAAAGTGACACACTGGAGACATGCTCAGACACAACAGCAGACACAAGAGCAGTGTTCCCGAGTCCCAAACAGGTTGTGGCAGGGTCGTGGCACGTGTCAGCAAACGGCGCGAGATCACCGAAAGGTTCTCCTTCCATGGCCGTCATACGTTGAACGCATGGACGCGAAGTAGTTTCCTCTGGAAGTCACCGGCACAACGGTCGCCACTCTGATGAGCACAGGAGTCCTCACCCCAAATTGGATGCACCACGTCTGCTGCGAGAACCTCCTCTCCCTTTCCCTCTCCCTCTCTGCCTCTCTCTCTCTCCTCTCCCTCCTCTCTCTCCTCCCTCTCTGTGTCTCTTGTTTCCTGGTCCGCGGTCTTGGGGTCCTGATTCTGCCATCCTCAAGGATTCGGTAGGCGTTCATCACTGGTCCGCCTGGAGGTCTTCCTGGAGGTCCGCTTGAAGGTGGCGAGATCTCTCGAACTGAGAAAAGAAATGAAAATAATAATGAGGGGAAATGATAATTACTAGGATGGGAAGAAAGCCAGGACATTGGGGGAATCTGCTGACCGTGGTGAGTGCTTCATGAAACGGGGGGTTCCTATGGATGAAATCTCCCTTCTAAATGGACGAAAGAAGACATGAGAGCATTAGTTCAAAATGTCAAGGGTCAATAATTAAAGGGAAAAACTGCAGGGAAAGAAGGAAATTAGAATGGCTAGGGGAAAAGGACACGATTAATAGCAAGGACAAATCACAATAAATGGAAGACAACAACACTTTCAAATAAAAATGAAGAACATACAAGCGCGAGAAAAAAAAGGGAGGGTCACAAACACAACATGAATACATACATAAAAAAAGGAAAATAGCACAAAACATTAAACTAACGTCCGATTTCAGCCTCGATCCCAGTCAATTAAAATGTTAATAACACGTTATGACAAACATCGCAAAAAAGCACAAAAAAGGCAATAATAGAACTTTGAAATGAATTAATTAAAAAAAACTTCTTCCTGGAGATGGGGGCAGTCCGGCGAAGATGGGTGGTCCTCTTGAAGGTCCACTTGATGGTCGAAAGTATCAAAGCACAAGAAGTATTGAACTAAAGTCTAGTTTCAGTCTCTGTCCCAAGTCACTTAAAATTTATATAACACGTTAAGACAAGCAAAACAAGCTCAAAAAAAGGAGCATAGGAGTCCTCACCCCAAATTGGATGCACCACGCCTGCTGCAAGAACCTCCTCTCCCTCTCCCTCTCTCCCTCTCTCCCTCTCTTGTTTCCTGGTCCGGATGGGGGCAGGTCTTGGGGTCCTGATTCAGCCATCCTCAAGGATTTGGTAGGCGTTCATCACTGGGACCTCACTGGTCCGAGGGGGAGTTCAAGATCGAAGCATCACCATCATCATTATTATTTTAAAAATTTAATAGGAGCTAAAAGCTCGGTGGGCCCCGCACCATGTGGTGGACTTTCACATAGCATACCCGCCCGCCGCGGTGAGACCCGCCCGTCACCAGGGCTGGCAGAGTGCAAGACCCTGGCGGAGCTAATGACGTAGACATGGGAAGGTGTCCCATGACTAAGGTGCAACAAGGTGTTGCACCAGGGTCCCTCCCATCTATCGTTTTAGCGCTACGACTATTTATCTTTAATGACAGAGATAAGCATATAATAAGAAGCAACCTGTCTTTAAGTAGGTTAGTAATTGGGGCAAATTAATTTTAGGTCCACTTTTACAAAAAATAGGGCTAACCAGTTTACGTTTATCGTTACACATTAACATATTTAATAAACAAATTTATTTATTTATTTATTTTAGATTTACTTTATCAGAGAAGTGAATTACGGCCCCAAAAAGGAAGGAGGGTTATGGGAGATGAGAGGGAATTTACAAGAGAAAATAGTCAGAAAAAAACAAAAAAACAAGAAAATTATTATGAGACAACGCAAAAAGGGAAAGCAACCTAGCAATGTTAATGGCAAAGAAAAAAATACGTAAGAAAGAAAAAGTAATAAAAATAGTAGGAAGCAAAAAAAACCGAAAAATGTTGACCTGGAAGGCAGCAACACATTAGTAACAAGAATAACAAAGGCAAAGCAAAATGAAAAAAGTTTACAGTAGAAGAAAATGAAAGGGACAAAGACAACGTAAACGCATACTAAAAAAACAAATGGAACATTAACACAAAACATTAAATTAAACACCAGTTTCTGCCTCTGTACCCAGTCACTCAAAATACACAGCATCGCAAAGAATGGGACTTTGAATTGAATTAATTTAAAAAAAAAACCTTGTTACAGGAGATGGGTGGTACTCCTGAAGATCCTCTTGAAGGTCCGCTTGAAGGTCCTCTTGAAGGCGGCGAGATCTCTCGAACTGAGAAAAGAAATGAAAATAATAATGAGGGGAAGTGATAATTAATAGGGAAGAATGCGAAGACATTGGGAGATTCTGCTGACCGGGGTGAGTGCTTCATGAAACGGGGGGTTCCTGTGGATGAAACCTCCCTTCTAAATAGACGAAAGAAAATATGAGAGCATTAGTTCAAAATGTCAAGGGTCAATAATGAAAGGGAAAAAACTGCAGCCAAAGAAGGAAATTAGAATGGCTAGGGGAAAAGGACACGATTAATGGCAAGAACAAATAACAATAAATGGAAGACAACAACACTTTCAAATAAAAATGAAGAACATACAAGCGCGGAAAAAAAATGGGAGGGTCACAAACACAACATGAACACATACATAAAAAAAGGAAAATAGCACAAAACATTAAACTAACGTCCGGTTTCAGCCTCAATCCCAGTCAATTAAAATGTTAATAACACGTTATGACAAAC